TTCTTAATGACGTTGTTGAAGCACTGGATGCTAAGGATTATTGTGCTCGTGATGTGCTTCTCTTCATCTCAAAACCGGAAAAATCCTTACAGACGCTCATGTCTATTATTAATGATTTTGGTTCACTATCAGGCTACAAAATTAACTTGGATAAATCACGAGCAATGCCAACCACAGCAGCATTGTACAGCACTTTGGTCAACGGTGTTGTTTTTAAAGTGCTTTATAAATAAAGTTGTATTGTATTATTATTGTATTTACCATACTGTATTATTTTTGTCGACCGGCAGTACCCGCATGACCTCAAGTAGGGATTGTGGGTAAAATTTACTGGTATGTAAATTTTAAAATAATTTCAGTTATGCAGGTGTTTAACACTGTTCTGTTCGGTCCCGGTAGTGTATTCTGCTTAGACTAGGTTTTGTGTTCATTCTATAGATTGAATGGTTATTTACCGTAGTAGATTACTGTAACCATGCGTCAGAGAGCGAAGCATCATGAAGTCCTGTGAGAGTCAACAGTCTGTGTTGAAGGCAAATCAACACCTATGAAACACCCTCTGGTGGTTGATTCTTGTACTTCAACAAGAGCTGCACACACCACCAGGAGCTTTGAACAGTTTCTGACATTAATTTGTGGACTTTGCAGCTTGAACACCAGTGCATCTTATTTATGTACAAAATTGTGTTTTATTTTAAATTTAGTATGCACAACTTACAGTAAGATGTGTTCTATAGACTGGCAATTATGGCAATTCAAATAGAAAGTAATCTCAGTTGCATTTATGGCCCTTTAATAAAGTTCATGCTCTTCCTGTTGTTCTTACCCGGTGGAGATCTCCTTGAATGCCGTTATCCAGAACCTTAGAGGCCAGATGGGCCTCTGTGAGCTGCAGCTGCAGAAAAGGTGGCTGCACAGATACACTTTGCCCATTCTTCTTCCTGCTCAGATACCTGCACACACATTAAACACCACACACTCTTTTCAGATTCAGGAGAAAACTGCTGCCTGCAGAGGGGACAGAAAAATTATTTTCATTTTGCAAAAATACAACTTTTCAGTCAGACCTGTACTCTTTAGGCATTTTAAATCACCTTCAGCACTGAGTGATAACGTTTACCAAAAATCTTTAAATCACATCAATAGCAGATAATAAACCACAGTTATAAAAATATGTTTAATTTGTTAGGTCTTCTTTGTCTTGTCTCTGAATTACTCACTTTCACATTTTGTCATTTTTGCAAGTTTGATTGTCTGTAATAAACTAAATGTCAAAGTAAATGTTAGAATAACTAAATTAATTAAAATTATTCACCTGGGTGCCTGTGAGCTGCAAAGAACATGAGAAACATTCTTCCAGCAGCCATTGGTGAAAGGATTTACGCCCCCTCTGAACTTTCCTGTGACCTGAAGGGTAAGAGAAGTAACAAAGTTACACGGTAGACTTATGCAAAGAGAGGAAAATCAGAATAAAACTATATTTAGTTTTACATAAAGTCAAATAATGTAAATTAAACACTCTTTTGCTCTTGACGAAGATGGCTGCACTCACCCTCTCTCCCTCAATCCCGCTTTTTTGCTCTCTTGTCCTGTCAACCTCATAGCCTCTTTACACATCTTCCGAATATTATGGATTTGGTCAGCTGGTCTCTCAACGCAATTGATAAATATTTTTCTACCAGACGACAGGGTGCTGGAGAGCCCTCATACCCTGAACGTATGCATGTTGCTGGGTTTGTCATGAATTCCTGGGGTCAGTGGAAGATGATGTGCCTATCTGTGCTGTCCGTGGAGGATGTAGAAGATGTGTACATTACTGGATTTATGATAACAGGGTTTCTGCATTTTGGAATCCGTGGATACCTAGGATGTATGAAGTCTGCTGCCTTCATACATCTCCTCCTACATGTCTCTGTGCGAGTGCAGCTACAGCGTGCGCTCTCAGGACATTATTACCTGCAGAGTTCCCTTAGTGAGGACTGAACTAGACAAAAGGACCTTCTCCTACTCCGCTCCTGTTTCCTGGAATATCTTATAAAACAAATCTGAAGCTCTCGACCTTGACCTCTCTAAGTAAACATGATTGTTAAATCATGCTTCTTCCAACTGAGGCGGCTGTCTAAACTGAAGCCCATATTGTCCAAAAAGAACCTGGAGACAGTAATACATGCATTCATTACATCTAGGCTTGATTACTGCAATTCACTCCTGTTTGGTATCAGTCAGACCTCCATTGCACGACTACAACTGGTCCAGAATGCAGCAGCCCGATTTTTAACCAGTACAGGCAAAGAGAGCACATTACACCAGTTTTGGCCTCACTGCACTGGTTACCAGTTCACTTTCGAATACAGTTCAAAATACTTCTGTATGTCTACAAATCGCTGAACAGTTCCCCCCCCATCTCTCTGATCTGCTACAGCCATATGTCCCACCACGCTCCCTGAGGTCAGCGGACCAGTTGCTCCTCACAGTTCCAGGGACTCGTCTTAAGCGCAGAGGTGACAGGACCTTCTCTGTAGCAGGACCAAGACTTTGGAACGAGTTACCTCTGCTTGTCAGACAGGCCCCCTCCCTCTCGGTTTTCAAGTCCTGTTTAAAAACTCACTACTATTCAGTAGCTTCAACACCAGATGATCTGTGTTTTGATCCTGTATGCTCCACACTGGTTTGTTGTCATGTTCTGCATCGTTTTTATGTCTATATTCTGATTTACCTCATTTTGTATTTTGCTTTGTGTGTTACCTGTTGTTCTGTCTGTACAGCACTTTGATTGGCCTTGTTGCTGTTTTAAGTGCTCTATAAATAAAATGGTATGGTATGGTAAGTGGCTTCAAACATCTGTTAAGTTCATGAGAAAAAAACAATGCAGACATGTTCCTGTTTTTAGTTTTCTAAATCCCGTTATAATCTAGCTGTTTTTTGCTACTATTCCTCTTGAATGTCCTTTTGGTTGCTATTTTGTTTTGATTTGTTAAAAAAAAAAAAGAAAAAGAGAGAAACTTAAATCTGTTTGCCTGTTTTATGACTGTCTATTCTTGTCATTGTTATTCACTGTTGTCATCATTCTTTGTTAAGAAATCTGGTCTCTCTTGTAAATGAGTCCCCGAGGCTCAATAGGATTCACGTCTAAATAAAGGTTGAATGAATGAAAAGTGACGCTGATAGACACTGTACATCTTAGAACTTTGGAACTTTCTAGAGTGTCCACAGACAACTCACCGCCTTTGCTGACCTCTATGCATAAATGTATTATGATGTCATTGTATGTTGCAGCTTTATGTTGCGAGGTCTTTTTTTTGCATCTTTTACACTGTGCCCAGACCAGGACATGGTGTAAGACATGATTTATTTTGGCTTCCTCCACCCTCGTGTTCTCTTTTTCTCATCTGCTTGTATGTTGTATGTAACAGGTCTCTTGTAAATGAGTCTTAAAGGCTCAGTGGGAACTAACCTGTATAAATAAAGGTCTAATAATAAAAATAAAAAAATGCATGAACTATAAGTTCAGTCTTACTGAACATTCTACTTTACAAAGCTGTAGTAAAGTCAGACTTTGTGGAAGTTACTTATGGGTATTTCTACCTGCTCATTGGTTGTCCTGCCTCTGGCCACCAGAACAACGTGGAAGCCAGTGAGGCCAGCAACAGGAACAAAGAACATGCCGGCAACACACATCACAGCCAGCCTGGAAGCACAAAGTCAAGAAAGATCTCCCCAAATATGATTCAACAAACAAAAAACACTTAAAGCTTTGAGGCATGGCCTTGAAAACCCCCCCACCCCTTTTAATTGTTTGTTTTTAGCAAGTATGACTTCTGATCCCCATGTTGACCATCAGACACTTCCATGAGTTTTACCAAGTTAGGCTGGACAGAAGACCTCCTCACCACCACACCTTCCTGGTCTCAGTGAAGCATCTACATGAACTGACTCTCATTAATACCGTGTTTTTTGCTGCATATGTCGCAGCTTTTTGCATAAATTAGCATGCCCTGCGACTTATACAGCAAAGCCACTTAGTTTTATCCCCTATATTTATAACCCAATTTTTGGCTGAGATCTGACAATTTCATTCATTCTGAGATGGAAAATATTGAACATTACCATTTTCGGCTGCTAGAGGGCACTCAACTAATATGGCAAGCCAAGTGTCTCATTAATAGGTAAAAGTGGCTATTAATTAGAGATGCACCGATTCACATTTTTTTACTTCCAATCCGATCCAGACACCTAAATCTAAATATTACACCAGTCTTGGCCTCCCTGCACTGGCTACCAGTTCAACTTCGAATCCAGTTCAAAATACCCCTGTATGTCTACAAATCACTGAACAGTTTTGCCCCCCCCCCCCCCCCCCATCTCTCTGATCTGCTACAACCGTATGTCCCACCATGTTCCCTGAGGTCAGCGGACCAGTTGCTCCTCACAGTTCCAGGAACTCGTCTTAAGCGCAGAGGTGACAGGGACTTCTCTGTAGCAGGACCAAGACTTTGGAACGAGTTACCTCTGCTTGTCAGACAGGCCCCTCCCTTTTGGTTTTCAAATCCCATTTAACAACTCACTACTATTCAGTAGCTTTCAACACCAGATGATCTGTGTTTTGATCCTGTATGCTCCACACTGGTTAGTCGTTATATTTATTATCTGCATCGTTTTTATGTCTATATTCTGATTTACCTCATTTTGTATTTTGCTTTGTGTGTTACCTGTTGTTCTGTCTGTACAGCACTTTGGTTGGCCTTGTTGCTGTTTTAAGTGCTCTATAAATAAAATGGTATGGCATGGTAAATATCGGCCGATACCAATCCAGTTCCGATATCATGATCATCATTGATTTTATGAGGCTGTAATAATCTCCTCTCAAGTACAATTTGTACAAATATATGCATGCATGTCCAAAAATCCAACTTGAGGTAAGTTTTATTAATGTTGGATAAGTTTTAAAGTTAGAATTAAATCCTGCTAACACAAAACATGTTTTTTTTATTCTTAGCTTTAAAGTGGATATTAAAGTGATTAATTTAAGTGATTTTTTAAAGTTATTTTATATATTTGTTTTAATAAGGGGCAGATATAAGATTTTTCTTCTTCCTGCACTCTTTTCATTCAATGTTTTCGTTTTGATGAATTTGTTTTGTTTCTTTTAAACGAATGAATAAATGAATTAAATTAAATGTTAAATGGCTTTAAACAACTGATAAGTTCATGGCATAAACCAACAGACATGTTCCTGTTTTTAGTATTTTATATCACTTCATAATGTAGCAGTTTTTGTTTCTTTTTTTTTTAAATATATATAATTTTCTTGTAATTTTCAAATCATGTTTTTTATGATTATCTCCTGTTGTACTGATAAATATCTCCTGGAGGGTAAACTATATCTTGGCTGCAAGAATCAAAATGTGAAATCCTTCGTTTTCTACAACTGATAGTGGTTGGTCATTAATGATGAAGTTTAGTAACTTCTCTGTAAACATTTGAGCTCCGTGGTTTCAGCGACGTCTTCTTCTTGTTCAATCCGATGCAGGCAGCCTGATTTGGGCCAGCTGCGCTCAGTCTGTCCCTCCTCAGAGACGGGCAGATTTAGTGGGGCAGATTGGACGCGGCTGGCCAGGGTTGAGTCGCTTGTTTCGGGTTGAGCCACAGTAGCACCACGCTGAAGCCACGGAGCTTGAATGTCCAATGTAAAACTAACTTTATCACGGTTTAATGTGGCGCTATGGCTCTGCAGACAGTGCACGTTGCTGTCTTGTTTTGTGGTGTTTAGTGTAAAATACTTCCACACAGCGACATGTTTAGATGAAAAGTTGGTTAGCTGTTAGCCACAGTGCTGCTAACTCAGTCCTAACGTTGTAGCTGGCTGCAAACTATGAACTGGATTTCCTGAATGTGAGGCGGGTCTTATTACTCTGGGCTCATGAGACACGCCGCCGTTCAGGAAATCCATTACATAGTTTAAAGCCAACATGCATCATGGATCAGAAAGCTCTGCAGATTGGATCGGAAAAATCTGATACGCAAATTATGCTGGTATCGGAGGCCGATACCGATACTGGATCGGCCCCACCCCTAGTATTAATGAGACACTTGGCTTGCTATACAAAGCCAGCTTCGTCTCGCTCCGGAACTCCTGGAGCAAACGTTAAATCAGCTGCATTTCGCCGAGCCGTCCAGGCGAAATGTAGCTAATTTGACCATCAAAGTTTTAGGTGGTTATCTTGGCAAATTTTGAAGAAATGCACAGCGAGTCCTCCCTCTGCGCGCTACCGCAGCTGCAAATCGGCTTTTGAAATGCAGCTGATTTGACCGTTAAAGTCCTTTAATTAAGGAAAAGTTCAACTGAGACACACCTTTTCTATAATTTCGAGCAAACAAATAATTGTTTTTAAGTGTTAATTTTGTGAAATTTTTGTTAAAGTCCTCCCGTGTATGCTCCCGCAGCCGCCATTTGGCTGCCAATCGATTTTTGGCACAACACTGGCCCACGTTTCCGGGTGGTCAGCGGTGACTCATAATAAATGCGACACGTCAGCGGTGACGCATAATAGATGCGACTTATACGGCGAAACGACTTATTTATGTTTTTGTTCCACTTTATTAGACATGTTTGGATTGATGCGATTTATACGGCAGTGTGATGTGTACGGCAGCAAGTACGGCACTCTTTATTTCTAATCCTAATCTCTGCCTGAACTCTCCACAGTTTGGTAAGATTATCAATCTATTCTTCTCCATTACACCACTAATGTTTGTATGAATGAATCGTGTCTGATAAATTTTGACTCCACTGGGAAACGACTGAAATGGACGGAGGCAAAGAGAAAAGCTGTTGTGTGGGCAGATTAATTAAAATGTTTTAATTATTTTCATAATCTACAGCTGAATCATACGGTGATCATCTAGCCTGTTATTAGTGCACTGTTCAAAAGCCTGCTTCTCTAATGGTATGGGGGTGCATTACAACCTCTGGAATGTGCAGTCTAAACATCTGGAAAGGCAGCATTAATGTATATACATATTCAATTATAAAATATTGTCACGTTTTCTGCCCTTCTGGTTTCTGTTCATGTTGTTAAATCTCCTGTCAACCTGCAACCTCACTTAACCCCACCCACTCTGCTGAATCACTGCAATCAGCCCTCATGCAGCTCACCTGTTTTTCCCTTAACTTAAACCCCACAGTCACTCTACTCAGTGCCAGATTATTGAAAGCCTCAGTGAGTAAATGTCCAGCATCCATGCCACAGTTTCGTTTGTCTTCCTGGTCCTGACTTCATGCCTGCTTTACAGATTACCCATCTTGCTCGTCCCCTGCTTGCTTTGGATTATTTACTCTGCTCATGGTAATGACCTCTGCCTTCTCTACAACGACCTCATCTATCGGATCACGATTCAAGTTTGGTTTCGGATTTCTGACCACCTGTGCTCGACCCTCGCCGGTCTCCCTGGACCTGTCTTCTGGATCTCCCTCCTAACTGCTTCATGCTCAGTCCTGCCTCAAAACCAGCTCACCTTCTCCAACTGTGACATCATAGAAACCAAGTCTTCTAAGGAAATTATTCCTCATCTGTTTATAAAAGTTGGTGTTTATAAATTGAACTGTCACACCAAAGCCATCGAACTCCAATCCACTAACATTCCTGTCTCTCCAGATCCTGCTGGCCCAAGGACTCAGACCTCCACCAGAAACAGTTTATCAATAAATCTTTTAAACCTTCCTGTTGTCTGTGATCTGGTTCGAATCCCTAAATCTGGTTCCTGTCAAATATTTATATATTTCACAACAAAACATGCTCCCAATCAGATGTCTTTTTCAGGAAAGACCTTTAATGTTTCAGGAAGACAAAGCTAAACTCCTACTGCAGACATTTCAACAGCATGGCTACAACAAAGTCATGATGATGAACTGAATCGCCACCTCTTAACAATTGGGAACATCTGGCACATGGTGAAACGATAAATGTAGCAAAGACAAGCTAGAGTTGTGGAACAGATGGAATCCTCCATCAAACCTGAACGGAACAACGTTCTTCTACAAGACCTGCAGGTCTCTTCAGATCCTGGATGTCTAAAGAGGGACTGCTTCACAGAGGTCTACATGGCCCTGGAGCTAGCGTTTTCATGTGTTGCTGCCAACTAAAGAAAAAAAGAACAATTTTAAAGTTTGAATTAGCCTTTATTTAACCAGGCAAATCCCATAGAGATCACAGATCTCTTTTTCAACAGAGGCCTGGTCCTGAAGGCAGCTTAACATGCATGTTTTGGTCTGTGGGAGGAAACCGAAGTACCCGGAAAAAACTCACACAAGCACGAGAAGAACATGCAAACTCCACCCAGAAAGACCCTCAGGTCCAACTGGGGATTTGAACCCAGGACCTTCTTGCTGTGAGGCAACAGTGCTAACCACTGAATAGTTTACAATTTATTTTGCTCCACTGTGAATAGAATGTGGGATTATGAGGTTTGTAAATCATTGAATTCTGTTTTTATTTATAGTTTAAACAATGTACAAATTCATCCTGAAACGGATTTAACCAGAGAAAAACCTGTCCACATTTTGCTCTTTTACGAACAGATTCAGTTGTTTGCCCAAATTGATCACGTTACATGTATTTCTTGGTTTGATAAGTTATTTACATTTTATGATTAGAATGCTGTCCATTCAAAGGTTATCGTTGCTGCAGA